TTTTTTTCTTTTTTTTTTTTTTTCGATTGGAAAACAGGATTCCTAAACCTGGGCCACCGAGCCGCGACCGGGAATTACGGCCTCAAGGATCTGATTTTGGCTTTAGAATGGGTGAAGGAAAATATCTCCAACTTTGGGGGAGATCCTAACAACGTGACGATTTTCGGCGTGAGCGCAGGATCGGTTTTGGTTCACGCTTTGCTTTTGTCGCCACGCGCGAAAGGTAACGCTCGGTTCTTCGATTTTCGATTCTAAAATAAAAAAAAAAAAAATTATTCGTGCGTCGAATATTTAATGAAAAAAATCCTTGTTTCAGGATTATTTCACAAAGCGATCGCGCAGAGCGGAATGCTTTCGAGCGCCTGGAGCAAGAATCAAAGTCAACCCGATCGCGGATTTAAATTGGCCGCTACCCTCGGAAAAGTATCCGACGATCCCGAGGAGGTGGTCGAATTTCTGCGAAAAGTGGCGGCCGAGGATATCGTGAAAGCTCAGCCTACCATCCTCACGTTGGAGGTAAGGAATTTTCCCTTTCGCCCATTTTCGCGATCGATTACTTTCGAAATATCTGAATCGAAATATCTCATCTATCCGATATAGGAGAAATTCTCTTACGCTATTCCTTTTGGGATCAATTGCGACGAGATGGCGGAGAATCCTGTTATGCCAGAACCTATCGACCAATTGCTCACAAAGATCGCTAACGTACCCGTGATAATAAGTTACACGGCCCACGAGTACATCATGTTCCTAAGAGGTGAATTTTCACGAATCCTTCTCTCAAAAAATTTGTCTCAATTTTTCCATTATGTTATATTACATCCCCGCTTCCATATCTCAGGCAGAGGTCAAAATATATTAAACGTTTTGAACGAGTATCTGCCCACGTACGTGAACAGTTTGAGAGTGTTGAAGAAGTTGGATGACGAACAAATCGAGGAATTATACGAAATTTTGACCAATCAATACTTCGACGGGAAACCGATCAACGATAAGAAACTGCGAAAAGTGATCGATCTTCTCACTCTCATTTATTTCGAGCTACCCGCCATTATGACTATAGAGGATCGAGCGAAGACATCGCTTTCCTCTACTTATCTGTGCAAATTCTCCTTCGTTGGCAACGAGATATCTCTTTCGGATCTGGTAGTGAAACGTCAAGTTTCTGGTAAGCAGCTAAATTCTTTAATCGTATTCTCCTTCTATGTATAATCATCCAACAATTTCATCCAATAATTTTCCATTTCTCTCTAACAAATCTTTAACTCTAATGTAAACGTGCACTTTCCCCAATTCTGTAACTCTGCTCTATTCCTTATTTAACTTTCTAATTTCTCCCCCAGTAATTCGCTTAATTAAATAGACTATTGCTTATGTTATTGGCGCGAACATGTCCATCCAAGATCAATTTCGAATTATGTTTTATTTTTTCCGCCAAAGTGCGACGAGAATAATCTTTCAGCGGTGTCAGTGGGGAGTCAGTTTGAATAAGAGAATATTCTAATAACGGAGTGCATGTTCCACTGTACCCTGTAATATTTATTCGCGTATTCCAGGAGCGTCTCACACCGACGACGCCCCATATTTGATATATTCACCGAGGTTGAAAAGTGACGATCCTGATCCACCGGCGGTCGGTACGAAAGACAGAATAACGATGGAGCGAATGACCAGGATGTGGACTAATTTCGCTAAAACGGGGTAAATAATTTTTTTTCTTTTTTGTAAAATTATTTTTGCAAAGACGAGTTCGTTTTAACCGTTTATATCCTCGATCCAGGAATCCTACTTCGATCAAAGACGAGTTCGTCAACGTCGATTGGAAGCCTGTTACCACGAACAACCTCTCCTACTTGGATATTGGCAGCAAATTGGAAATCCTCCCTGTTTTACCGCATATTTTAAGGGACGAGATATTGAGCACGAATAAAAATCGAATAGCAAAGGAAAAAAGGCGAATGATGCCGTCTATTTTCATTAACAAGGAAGAAGGGAACAAACGGTGGCTCTGGTGAATCAAATAGAAATTAGAGTTTCGTTAGAGATTATCTTCGATTTTTCTTCATTCCATTCTCGTACATTTTTATTATTTCTTCTCAAATTTTCTTCTTCTTTCACTTTTCATTGCGTATTACGTATAATCTGTGTATTGCCATTTCTCAAGTAGTTGATCCTGAATGAAAGCTTGAGTGATTACTCAAGAATTTTGCTCAAAACTGCTCAAGAATTGTCGTTTACCTATTTATATTATTTTTTTTAGTTTTTTTTGTCAAGCTTTTATTCCTTTTATGTATTATTATTTTATGCAATTATGTACTTTATAATATACTATATTTATTAGATTTTTTTCGAATTTTTTCGAATTAACTCGATTAATTGATTCGAAACTTGCAATATCGAGCGATGTTTCACAATTTCTGTTTAATTCATATTTCTGAATCAATTAATTTAAAGCGAACCAGTTAACCAAAGTTTGTCAAAGTTAATTCGAAACTCTTGCTCAAAGAATTATTTAACGATAATTGATAATTATATGTTCATCGATCATCATCGATTATTATTAATCAAAGTCAAGACTTATTATCAACGATAATCACTGATTGTTCCTTATTATCTTCGATCATCGAAAAGAAGCTATGACTGTTATTTGTATTATAATTTAATTCGAAGATTTTAAAACAAGAGTATTTAGTATTTACAAATTATTTAGAAATTAACGAATTTCTATTTCAATAAACTATATACTTTATTTCGTAAAGAATATAATTTTTATTTTTCTATTCCTTTGGATCTTGTTGGATCAACTTACTATTTGAAAAATC